AATGACATGGCGGGGGGGGGGGGGGGTTGTCTTGTGAAGGTACTGTAAATTTTATGTAGTTCCTTTTCCACTTTTGAAATGACTATTCATAATTTCATTCAGTATTACTAATTAGTCATTACTGCTAATTTGGCACTATTTCAGTTTTTTGCACATTTCAGCCCATTCACAGTCTCTCCTCACCTCACTTTACCTCTGTATAGCCTGCCATCAATTTCAAATTGCGTACTTCAGTACTACACTTCATAGTTTGAGTGCGTAAGTGAATGCACTTTTGCACTCAAAATAGCAAGTTTAAGTACTTAAGTATGTGATTGGAAATCCTAAGTTTAAGTACTGAAGTACGTGAATGTAAATCCCGAGTTTTATCCTGTAAAGTTTGCTGGTGTTTTTTTTGTCTAAGTACAGGTGTGATGGATAACAACCTCGTTTTTTAATTTTGATTTATAGTGACTAGTGATGTTATCAAACTAATCAGAAAAAATAATGAATTATTTAAGATCACTGTAGTCTGGCCAGTTAGTAAATTACGGAAAAGATTATAAAACCCAGGGTGTGACAGTAAATCAGCAAGAGCTTTCTCTAGTCATTACAATATTAATAATTCATTAATTATGTTTTTCCACAAACATGAAATATTCTCAGTTAAATGTGCAGGGCAAGAAACGGCAAAAAAGAGTTAAGAACAATGTAACGATTAGAAATAATTTGTTCAAGACGGGTATAGCAGAGAACTTGAGTTTGCCCTTTAGGTAAGTTTTAATGATAGAAATAAAAACTCTTCCCCCATGTACTGAGGCAGGTACTGGCATCATCCACCAGCCTGGTTGTGGGTTCAAATCCCAGGGAAAGCACATACATTGTAACCCTTCCTTGTAAGGCAGGTAGACGTAGGTACCAGTCTTCGTCTGAAGACCTGGGCTGACCTGCTAGTCAGGACAAGCGACGTGGTCATGGCTTTGGTCCTCACTGCCCAGATTCGAAGTCCACACAGAAGGGCAACATTCTGTAATCGATCTAAAAAAATGCCCCCCTTTTTAGAGACACCCCTGTATCCTCCTTCACTGTGTGGAAACACACGGAAAACAGCAGCGTGAGGAAAGGAACCCAAGAGCGATGCTGGCGGGAATGATAAGCGGCGTGGCCGATTCTGACGGCGTCCAGACGGCGTGGCCCCCGGCGGCTGCCGGAGCGAAACGGGGGCCATCCAAAGGACACTGGCTCCCCCCCAGTCTCAGCAAGAAAATAAAATAAAACTGGTTTGCAGCTTCAGAACAACAAACACTCCTGATTTGTCTGGTCCCCATAAACACAAAGCCTCCCCATTGCCGTGGAGCCGACACCGTCATCCTGGTCTCCCTTCGTTTGCGGGTCTCGCAGGA